CAGGAGGGGTCCAGGGAGTCCGGACCCCCCCTTGCTCGCGCAGAAAACGCATCTGAGGGGGTCTAATTTAAAAAAATTTCGCGTGCTCGCAAAGGGGGGTTACGGTTAGACCCCCCCCCCCTGGTACAAATCCTGTACACGCCCCTGCCGAGCAAATTGCCAACATTGAAAAACGAACTCCCCCCCAATATAAAGCTGGCTACGGGCCTGATGCATCATGATAAAGTGGATCCCACAATTCCCACTATATATATATATACATCAAGGGTTAATAATGACAAACTTGTCATTATTAACCCCTGATATACATATATAGTAGCGTGCACAGTAAAGTTATGGCACGTACGTAGTTGTGGTATTAGATGACCATACGTTTTACTCAACCCCAGTCTTGTCAAGAAAAAAACGATGATCGTGAATGTATGAAGCGTAGTCAGCCTGTGTTACAGGCTCACAGCTATGTGAGTCATGCCACAGAACCGGTTACATAATTTGCTATAATTACATCATAAGCAACGCTATTTCTCCTGATACTTTAATCGCATGTTTACAGATAAAATATCTCAAAACAGCTCAAGGTAACACGTAATCTGAAAAGAGCTTATATGAACAACGGTTCAAATTCTTTAAAAGAAACACACGCGTCCGACATGCCCTAACACGCGCGAAGTTTTTAACGATCGCGGGTAAGGGTGACGCTTGCTCTATTCACCATAGCACATCAATTGAGATTCGCGTTGAATCATCTAGGTATACCTACCCAGCACGCAGGTATGTCCGGTATCGCAGGCAGAAACACGAGCGCAAAGGTGTGAAAACTATTACGGCGCATTAAACTTCATTAAAATCGGGTTGGTGATTCACGCAGGTAAAGAGATGGTGATATTGTTCGCCGGGAGCCCCCGCTGCGACCCGCTACGATCCACAGGTGCTGCGTAGGTATGACTCACCCCGATTGTCGGATTTTTTGCTGCGTATTTTTTTGAGAAAGGCGCGCCTTGTTACAGCGTCGCTCCCGTGCGAGCGTATGCGACGTATAGATTGCATTGGAAGTACTATGTGTTCTGAATGACGTGCCAACACCCACCTACATGGCACCCTAAATTGATATTTGTTAATAATATACGATGTCTCTCGTGTTCACGGTGACTGCATCCAGTTACGATATCAAAAGAAACCGATACCCGTCGCAGCTCCGTCGCCTCTCTCTTTTCACTTTCTTCTCTTTTCTCTCTCTCTCTCTCGCTATATATATATATATAT